TCGATTGAGCGTGGCATTCCATCGCGCCGATCGGGAGACCGCATGGCTCGTTTTTACGCAGGGGCTGATCGGTGGATCGAGCGTCTCGCTGCAAAGTTCATGGGATTCCGACGCTTTCTTACATTTCTATCACGTACCATTTCATTCCGCGTATTTTTGTAATTCGTGCAGTCCGACGATTTGCAGTGACCTCGAGAAGAGCTCGAATCGATGTCGACGCGCTCTGCGTGGTGGGTCCAGCCGAGAATTTTCTCTCCCGCGACCTGCAGTCTAATCTATGAGCTTTGCGGAGCCACAGGAGCCTGTGTCTATAGATAGAACACTGAGCTGCTCCTGTAGTTTTGAAAGCTCAGGATGTATTATGAGCTCGAGAGATTCAGGTATCTATGAGATTCAGGATTCAGGTACGAATATACTGGAGCTGTCCCGCAGCTCGGGGAGGAAAAATTCAATGTTCCCGCTAAATATATTCACAATCGGTGCCGTTCCTCCAATCGACTGAGGAAACGCGATGTGTACACCGGAACTCGGCGGCTTGAACTTCTTTGTGAAAGAGTCCCCCGGAGAGAAGGCCGGAATGAGTTAGCGTCGTCCACTTTCCCGGCATCATTACATCCAGCTGATCGACCAAGCTGTGAGCTTATCCGCGAAACTCCCTCGCACGATCCCGTTGAGAATTCGTCAGAAACCAAGTTCGGGATATGCACCGGGGAGGTCTGCGTGCGTATCCATCTCCTCAACTTACTTGTCCTTCCAGATCAATAGCTCGACCGCTTGTTCGGAGAGGAGGGCGAGTTCCTGTTTTTTAGTAGCCTAAAAACCCTCTCAACAACCCGACGAGGTGCTCACTCGATCATGAGAATGTATATTCACCTTTTCGGTTGCGGTCAGTGGAAATTATCCAACAAGGCCAATGCAAAAACTGCTATCCGGTACAGGAAGAGAGCCCGCGTTTCTATGAAGCGAAGTTCTAGGCCCCTGTCACAATTCCTACTTGGTAGCCAAGCCGCGGGATTTTTCTACCTTACTTTTATTCTGGAACCGCAACCTCGGTTTGCACCCGATTGAGGTCCCGGGCCCGTCCGAATCGTCCACTGAGAGGTCAGCGAATCAATACAGGGAATTTTCCTCAACCCATCATCAATCTTCAATGCCTCTAATTTGGAAACAGATTCTCCTCGGAGCCGAGCTCCTAGGAAAATTAATATTTCCCGAGAGCCAGGAAAGGGAGTAGAGATGAGGAGCCGAGTATTATCCGACGGAACTCTCGCTCCCTACCAAATGCAAGAAGAGATTGGCTGGCAGCGAGGACGACGACTCGTAGACGTAAAATCGAACGTGCAATAAAGTGCGAAGAGAAGAAACGGAGGAGCAAACGAACAAAGAATTAGGCTCGAGTCTCGTGCGCGAATAGAGCCTAACGGACTGACTGCGGATCGTTTTGTTGAATTTTTCTTCCCGATGGCCACGTTCTCGCGGCCCTACCCTCTCCTTCCCCACCCCACGTCCGTCCCGAGAAGAGCAAGCTTGAAAAACTGCCGGTCGTACGGCTTGAGCCCCTGCTGAAAGATTCTCCCTTCACCGGGTAGGGTTTGACCTCGACCGATTCAATCGCTTGCTGACGATCCGCCATACCGCGGTAACGCGCGCATTCTTCCGCCCATGCTCACACGGAGATCTCGATTGAGTCATTCCGCCTTCATGCCCATGGCTACTCATCAATCAGAGTGGGATTTTATTCCTCGAACGAGTTTGGAAAGTATTAGACCCGAGTTCGGCTCGAAGAGCGCTCCCTCACCTACGTGGGGACGACAGCTGGTGATTTCTCCTGGAAGCGACACCGGAAGCTCGCGGGAAACCCGTCCCGGTTCGGAGTCGTCCCAGTCCCAATGAACGAATAGTGCGGAGCAGCTTTAGTGCATCCGATGACTCCAGATGGACAAACGCAGGAACAATGGAACGGAAAGTTGGGCAACCACAGGGCAGAACTTGGAACGAGCTGACCAGCTGTTGTGAGTTCGAGTCGCATGCCAACATGCCAGGTTGGCGGACAAGGTAGCTTCCGCTCCGGCAAGCTCTTGTGGCCCGGGAACACGTTCGAATCATGTGCGAGCGAACAAACAGTCGCCAAACACGAGTCGTCGTGAAGCATATCTTCGTTCCCGGTGTTCGAGCGAGTCTGCTCTCGCTCAGGAAAGTCGTCGGCAGTTTGATTCTCATTTTGCGGTCTTCGAGTCCGGAGCAATACCTGAAGCCTGACAGAGAACTCCGACGTCCATCTCCCGCTAGTGCTTCCTGAGAGCCTTTATCGGCGAATTTAGTTAGATTCCTCGCAAGTTCACAATCACGAGCAGCATCGGAATATTTCCGTTAAGAGATCTGAGGCTTCGATTTCGGAACGCGTTGCGGCGAGTTTGCAGATATAATTAAGGGAGAGATATAGCACACAGTTCGAGTAGAGGGCGCGAAGAGAGACGGAACGATAGTGGGGAGAAATTCCGGGGGATTATCGGAGCCTCGTCTCGACGATGGCGACTCGCGGAACCAGCCTCCGTCCGCTCCCTATATAATGTTAATCAAGAGATAAGCCTCCATCCGAATATTCGTTTTTTCCTTCCCTGTTTTGCCCCTCTTTCCCGCCTGCGAGCCGGGAGGACTTCTGGGAGAAAACGGTACGAGTGCAGCTCTTCAGATCATATCAAGGCTAATGTCTCCCGTCATTCAATCGAGCCCTAAGGGTGTAGTCGTATCGAGCTGCATGCGGAGGCACATCGGTGTCATTCTGATTGGACATGGATGTCGTCGAATGATATTCCAGTCGTCTTGACCGTCCGATGTCGGCATCGGCTGGCCGAGGGAGGATAATGTGGTACGATTAGAGATTGTGTCGGGCTCGCAGAGGGATCGATAGGGAAACTTTCTGAGCTTCCGTGTTGTCCTCAATCAAACCCAAGTTTCTCAACTTGTTCATAACCAGAATAATCGAAACGGTCGCGAATCATCCCCGGGGCTCCCGTCCTCGGACCGCGAATTCTCGGCGTGAGTCTCATTTCGGCACGATGTGCGTGTCTGAGATAGGAGAGACTTCAAGAATTTCGGTGACGAATCTGCTGGGAATCCATCGGCTTCTTTTCCGAATATTCACAGGTAATTCACCGACGCTAGCTGCCAATACGTGATTCTCATCTTCGTGCCTCAGCTCCTCGTTTTGTTTCAATTAATCCGATGACAGCTGGAGACGACCGAGGGGTCGAGAAGACAAACTCGGTGACCGTGCTTAGATCTGCGGAATCATCAGCATCAGCTTGCACAACGTTACCTGGTGGGAATTTCTCCGAAGTTCCGCGACTTCTCGGAACCATTACTCTCAATGTGACTATGAGAGACCAGCGAGGGAGGATAGTGGCCGAGGAATCGAAACCCTCCGCAGGGTGGACTGACTAAAATCCTCAGTTTCTCCCGGTCCTGTACGGGGCCGATGGTGGATCAGTACGCATGGAGCGCACGGAGGGCTCTTCGGGGAACTCCCCGACGGAGATCCCTCCACGAGTCGATATCCGCTCAGAGTGGATGTCGCATTTCGCTAATAATGAGTTGATGAATTCCCAAGGATATCATCTCCGTGTTCCTCTCGGCCAAGGCCATGCAAACACGGAAAAAGAGGAATGGGGGAAGTTTGAAAGTTGGAAGAGTCGGACGGCGGTAGAAGAAGCCAGTCTCGTCTTATAGGGACAGCCATTGAAGTCGTTGTAGCTATTAGGCAGCTATTTTGTAAATCGACTTTGAGGATTTAAAATCGATTTCGTCTGGCTTCTACTGCTCTTCTCCGTTTTCAACTGGTTGGACTCGGGGGACGACCAACGAACCGACGGACAGAGCGGCCAACCGCCCGACCATCCAATCGAGCTGGAAATCGAGGAGCATTGGACAGCGGCAGAGAACAGCGGCGCCAAAGAGAACTCTGCTGATAGAGCGATCTTTAAATCCCACCAAGAATTGACCCCGACCACATAAGCCCGAGGTTGTGTTGAACAGATTCGAAAGGGGGCAGCTTCCCTGGAATGGTCTGTCTCCTGTGTGACTGAGAAGAAAGAGGGAAAATTTGAGAAAATGGTGTTCACCCTGCGCCGCGTTCTCTGGTCATTCTCCCCGATTCCCGAGGTTTTCTTCCCGACGCGCATCCATCGCTGGCCCTGATCTGAGATTCTTATGGAAGCTTTTCAACAGGTACATTGCAGCAAAATTACTTCCAGCCGAATGACGGCGGGAAGTTTTTTCGAGATCAAACTGTCGGAAGCATCAATCCTTGTTCGAATCCAGGCTCGTCCGTTGAGGTCTGCGTAACGCTGAGCCTCGAACGCCGCCTTCTGTCATGCAAATGAGGCTAACAAAGGCTCTCACGTTCCGTGGAACCTTTTTTAGAGAGCCGAGTGTAGAGGAAGCATGCGTGCTTTCTCCACGTCTCTCTCCCCTCTCGGAGCATAAGAGACGCTTGACGCGAAACTTCGCGACGCGGAGGTGCTCCGAGCGGGCTCCGCTTCGTGCTCCTCAATTCTAGAATCCACTGTTTCAAAAGGGACTGAAATAGAACAAGGATGGGAATAGAGCAGGAGGATGATATCGAGAGATCGCAAGGATTTCGAGCTCATATGAACTTGACGTGGGATCAGCCGCTGCTGTGAGCCGTCTTTCTCATGGACAACACGCCGATGCTGGGATTTTCCCGCGGTCTGACGTGGGACGTACAAGACCTTTTGTAAACTACAGAGTGCAGTGCTCGGAGGGAACGAGTGACGAAGGCTTCTCGTTTCTTATCCGCGGTTCCACATGATTCGGGCTCCTAACTGAAGGAAGTGCCCGAGGCGGACCATCTACCTTTGCCCCCCCCCCCGCGACGAGGTCCCCGCCGTTCGAGCTTCATGGCATGCGAAGGATCAGAAATATTTGTTATGAATTCCCTAAAGACTTCCGACGCTCATAACGGTGGGACACCAACGATGATGAGAAAATCAGTTTATTCTCCTACTCACGCATCAAATGCTCTGTACAGTGTTTGGTACAAATTAAACTCTCTATGTTTGGACATCCGGGATGTCTGATTTTCTATTCCAGATATTCCCATGGTCACCAAAGGACGTCGCATTCGAGAGCTATTCGCTCGGCCGTCGTGATGCCCGGCTCGTTGAAGTATACAGTCCCCCCGATTCTCCGATTTCAAGGGATCTTCGACTGTTCTCGGCAGTATGGCTCACAGGTCTCTAAAACGTCCTTGATTTTCTTCATGATAGATGGGATTCTTTCGTACGGTGCCATCTCAGCCCATTCATGCATATAGATTGGTACAGGGTGGATGTTCTGAAGGCGGAGGAAGCGTTCTTTCAAGGCCGACCGGACCTGCAACAGAAGTCAGACACCCCCGTGAACGCTCTCATCTTGAAGGCGTGGCGGGATGGAGAGGGAATCATCGCCGGTTGACTCACCATTTTTAGGGATTTCCGTTCGTCAAAACCTTGACGGCTGTTGACCCGAATTATTGCCACCACTTTGCAGTCCTTCGGAAGACCCTGCAATGACCAAGTTCGAGGGGTGAATTCCGATGTAATCCGTCCTCCGGGCAATTTGGCACTAAGACGTCAGCATCGTTCTAAGAGGTCTCGGACCGTTTGGATTCTTACCTCGAAAGGGTTTTCCTCCTCGGACAGAGCGATCGGATACTCGCCTTGTCTCATGGCGATCGCGAGATCGGCGATCGTTCCGAAAGGCGTCACCACGTTTCTCAACAGGAACTACGGATTGAAAAAAAGCGTCGCGGCTTCCACGTCGTATATTTGATTCGGAAATCATCCATCGCGATCCATGAGCAGAAGGCCCGAATCGAAGGAATTACCTGTTCTCCACCAAGGCCCATCTGCAGAGCATTGGTCACTTCGTCATCGTTTTCTGCCATAGCCCCCGTCAGAGCCGCTGATTTCAAGTCCGGAAGAAGTTGATACGGCGAGTTCTCACCGAAACGTAAACGAAGGCATTGCTCCAGCTGCGAACGTTAATCGTTCCCGACTTCATTTCTGAACGAATCGCGAGGAGAGAATTCCATCTGCGCATCAGCAACCATTCCGTGGACAAAATTATCTCGATTTAGTAAACTAAGAGGGAACTCACGAGCAGGAGCTCAGAGGCGAGAGCTCTATTCAAATTTTTGAACAGCAGCTGATGTTCTTCTTGAAAGAACGCGTCGAGCTGGAATCCAAGGATTCGAATTGAGTTTCGGGAAGTGAAGGAAAAGGGCAAAAGAAATTAAGCGCTCGCGATGAATCTCTCCAGGACCTTGCAGGTTCCCGAGTACATCAGACCAGAGCTCCACGCGATGAGCTTGACTATATCGGAATGGCTCTGGAGGAATTCATGGATATTTGCCAGAAGAGGAAAGCTATCAATATTGCGAATCATTCTTTTCTATGACGGATGCGATCCGGTTGGAGTCTTACTTCTCTCTCGGGGTAGACGTCGAGAACGGCCATATACAGCAGATATTTTGTGAAAGATACGTGATTCTTCCTCAGGTGATCAATCCCATGGGGGACTTCGGCCAGCAGAAGAGCGAGCTCTCGCAGTTTGGGATCAGGCTCTGGAAATATTCGAGATTGTATTCGGACCACATATTTGCCGATGAAGGAATAATTCGGCCTAATCTTAATTCACAGCAGCGCGATCTGACTGGCGGAAAGACACTTGCCCGTAGTGTTAACAGCTAGCCTCGCGAGAGCTGAGCAGACACTCGAAAAGCCAAAACGGATTCCAGGAATCTGAAACGATGTCGGGAATGAGTTTCAAGGCGGATCTGATATCTCAGCTTCTGTCAATCTCGAGCACGCGCTCCTCGCGTCGAAGAGTTCGGAAGTCCATCGGACGATGGTGGGCGTTGAGGGATCCCGAATCCCGGGCGAGTGATCAAGAAATCTCTCATGAATTAGCGATATAATTTTCAGCGGGAATTTTCCGGATCGAACCAAGCGGGTCCATCCGTGGAGATCCATCAGCTCACCTCCTCTCTATGCATAAGGAGTTGATCCCTGAGAGTTTCGACACTGTTCCTCGATAAGCAATTTTTAGTCGCGTCCATTTCGTTCAATCGAACTATCTGAAATGAGTTGATGGCATGGAGACAATGGAATTCAGGTGGAGCGGATTTGGAACGTGGGAAAACTTCCGTCATACACAATCAGCTCATATCATCATCACGATATCTTTTACTGACCTCGTTGAGATTTTCCGGCGAGGCGTGTCGCCGGTAAGCATTGTGGAACTCATCACAATACAGTGGAAGGCTTCTGTATGCTGCTGCTAGTCGTCGAATCTGCGAAACGGATAAAATATCGATTTTCCCAGATTCCCTTCGATTCTACGCTTCGAGGCGGAACTTTGACGGTAAGGAAAAATGATCAAGCGAGAAAGAGAGGGGGGGGGTAATTCAAAAGCGTCATAGAGATCCAAGGACAGACGAACCGATTTCTCGTCGAATTCCTGCAGGTGAGTCGCGATAATCCGGAAGCATCTGACGAGATGGTCCCTATTAGATAAAATAGAGAAGATATTAGCGACCGACCTCCCGTGGCGGACCGAGGAATGCCCTGAACGTGTGTAGATGATTTGCTGACCGGACTGCTTTGCTCATTATTCCATCCGGTTTCCGTTCCGATGATCTGGATCCGTATGCGGCGTTCGCGACCATCCGAGCCGCTAGGCGGGGTGGACAAGCTCCCATGAGCCTTGAAGTCTTCTCGAGCACGAACTCTCGCGTTTCTCTGCTAACATCGTTCTGCAGACAAAACTTCGCTGCCCTGGAAAGGTTTAAGGAATAAACTTAGCGACTTCGAGAGCTCCCCGAGGGTGATTGATTCCATCTCGCGGTACCCACTCGAAACATGCTTGCGGATTGTCTTCATCCAGCTCTCGGAGGATTCTGTTGTCGAAAATCAATGGTAAGGATGAATGAAGGGTGTCCGTCAGAACTGACCGATCACCAAGCTGGAAGGGAAACGAAATCAGATGTCATGGACGAATCAAGACCAAATGCAGAACAGGTCCCGATGGTCGGCTGCATTCACTCTGAGAGGGCAATCAGCCAGCGCGGGATTGTACCAAGTCGATGGCGAGCGAGATCTGGGCGGCTTGTTGGCAGTCTATATCGCTGATATATTTTCTCAACATCTGGAAGATTCCTTGGACGAGAGCGCTGGAGGCTTCGAGCTGTGAAATTCCAGAAAACTCATGAAAAATCTCGCCATGACCATCTCGGGGGGAATATCCGACGCGCGTTCACGCCATCAACTTCATGGTGAGTGCGCTCACGTGCAATAGACCGGCGATCCTGACGAGTTCCACGCATTCATCCAGATCGAAATGACGCAGTCGGATCAGGATAGTCCCGGCGAGTTTCTGGAAGGCTGGATCTTCCGTGGGGGCGAGCGTCGCATCTTGACTCTGGGAAAATACTTATCAGATCAGCAGCATGATCCCTCACGGAATTTCGTTCATTAGCATGACTCCGCGACAAGCTCGAGATACTTGGGCTCACGCTCACCAAGAACCTGTAGTGTTTCATGTATCTCACAAGATTGTGATTGCTGGTACCGTCCAACTCCTCCTCAAGGGTCTGCAGGGAATCATTGTGCTCTTAAATCATCTTTCAATCAGAGTATAGCCTCTCAGGGGTCTTCGACGACGAATCTAGAGGTGCTCGCCACTCACAGCTCTAAAGTCGTCCATCGTTCTAGCGAACGGAAATGATCCTCTCGAGGGAGCCGGATATTCCGGATGGGCTGGCTTTCCCTCAGGTACATCTAGGAGCTGAAAATATATACGTTCGATGATCTTTGAATTCTTCTTCACACTTTCGGGAAAGGCTTGCGGCATGGGGGATGTAAATGATGAAAATGCGACATTGTATCTGTGAAATCCGTCCCCTCATTCAAACGCTGCCGCTCGGAATAGGGGAGAACGGCTCGTCCGGGGCAAGAGCGCGGGACTCTTTGTCACCGTGAATAAGCTGACCCGGACTTGACAGCAATCCACGGAGAAACGTTGAGACAACGTTCGTCAAGCGTGTGCGTATCGAATGGCATGTAAAATGGCAGGGAGGAGTTCCGATGTGTCCCTCCTCCTGGGAACTCCAGGATCACTGTCATCTTCTTCCGCTACAGACTCAATTCCCTGCCCGTGAATTCGATCTCGCTTCTCGGAGAGAAGCTCCCAGCCCTATGCTGAGCTTAGAAATCGCCATCCCTTGACGGTCGACGAGTCACAGCTGCTTCTCCCAACACCAAGCACCACTTCCAGTTGATCCGCGCGGATACTTCACTAGGCATTCCAAGTGGCTGGAGAGCACTGTCTCTCGCTCAGATCGATGCTCTTGAGGCCTGAGCGCTATCATCGAAAAGAGGCTCGGCGCGAGCCTCCCCAATGAAACGATGTCTGAGTGAGAAACATTGAATATATACTAACATATCTTACCTTGGGTGTCAACGCAAGGCATCTATGGGACCTTTGCGCCGCTATTGCAAGAACTTTCGGCGCTCTCACAAGTGAGCGGAACAAGGGAAACATTCCGATGCGGGAGTGTCTTCCCGGAATCCACAAGAGGAATGAAATTTCCCGAATAAAGTAGAACGCGCGGACCAAACTCTGTTCGAATGCCGCAGCGTGTAGAGTGGTACTATTTTCATTCTATTCGTCTCGCCCGCATCCGATGAGCATGTGTTTGGAGTCAACAAACAGACGGCGCGAAATTCGAAATCCGTGCTCGCGCTCACCAACTTGCCTGATCGAATGCGTTTCACAGGTTTCTTCCTCGGCATCATCCGGATGATTGCGAGGAGTCTTTTTGCACCTCGAACTAGTTTTTCGCTCCCCGCGTCGCTTCCTCGGTTTCTTCTCGAATATTGATCGGAAAGGCTGTATACGTGGGCGATATCTACTCTCGGAACCAACGTCGATCCAGGAGGCTCCCTCAGAGCTCGTATCGGGGCAGAATACTCGATGAAGTGATCGGACGGACCATCCTTGACGGCTTTGATTCGTTCAACGATCGAGCGTTCGTCATTCCTGCGTGGAAGCCCACTCCGCATTTTCCCCGATTTCATCCACCTCTGAGAGGAATCGATCATTCACCATCTCCGAAACGCCAAGAATTCCTCGGACTACACTCCAGTAACGGTCGTTGGGCTCAGTTCAGTCAGCTCGAGGAAATCTCGAGAGAGCTCGGACTGACCAGGCGGATATCGCGATCGAATTCAAGGAGCGGTGCCGCTGTGCTACTGGTGTAGCTCTCGCTTGGAACTGACTCGGTTGGGCTGAAGTGGACCATCCGCGAGCCTCGACCTTCCTAGGAAAATGAGGTTTCGTCGTCTCGAGCCTCTTTCCCTCCGGACAAGAACTTCTCGACTCGATCCGCACGGATGGAAACTCAAGCCGTTCCCTTGGGCGAAACATTTGTCGGGAAATTCGTTGCGCAACTCAGCCTCGATAATGCGGGTGGTACCTGGAACGCGGGAAGAATCGCGGTGAATGAGGTCCGGCAGCCGTGCCCCAACCTTCAGATCAGCTTACAGCGTGAAAGTCATCGGAGATGCGAAGTATGGATTTCGTTGTCAGGAGTAGGCTTTCCTCCAGGATTTATCGATATTTTATGCTCCGATTCTTCAAGAAAGCCCAACAACAGCGGGGGCGGGATCGCTGGAGGCTGAAGTGACGCTATATGAGCGTCGGACTTCGCCCCCCCTCTTCCTCATATTTTTGATAATCGTTCGGTATCATTGATGATTCGTCCGCTAGACTCATGATGTAACCCGAACATTTTCTGTAACTCCTTGTCACTGTTTGCCTCTCCATGGCATTCTGGTGGTGCGTACACTAAAGCTTCCTATACGCCGCAATTCGGATCGGTCTCTTCAAATCTGGATCTGAACTTTTTTCCGTGCGAGCCCTTGCTTGTGGAAGTAGCACGTCGCCTATCATACATATGTCGCGGTCTGCTTCTCACCGGGACAGAGACCTCAATAAGCTGTTAATTGCACAAGCTCTCTCTTCTCCGTAAATTTTCCTAGCCAAACTCGTGTCTTTCAGACCCCCGGGCGCATCTCTAGAGTCTAGAGTCTAGACCATCGACGATGGGGCCGGAACCCATGAATTTTTTTCAATGTCTTCTCAAGCTCAAGTTCTCACCCATGGCCACGTCAAGAATCGACTGGTCCCCATTCGGCTGTCTCATTTTTCCGCTGCAAGTGGAAGCCGAAGGCGTGAGTTAGATATATTCTATCAAGCACCTTCTGCATGCCTCGAATTCCCCCGCTCCCCGAAAATTCGCCTCGAAGTTTGAGTATTCCCAAAGCTATCACCTTCGACATCGTCTCTCGGCAAGAAAGTAGTAAGACGGAGGGTAGGAATGACCTTTGAGGCACCTGGATTACAGTATCTTGATGATGTTCGCGACTAGGCCAAGTCTGCTAGGCCGTGTTTCCTAATCTAGAGGGTACGCCTTTCAGCGTATTGACTTGTACGGCAAAGGCAAATTCGGTTATTCTTTGATCGACCATCGAGGTGTCTGTTGACTGCCTTAAAAGTGAGTGCATCGATTCCTCCAGAATTGAATGGAAGACCATCAAGACTAACCCCTGCGAGCCTGTCACGTCTTCATGTTTAGGCTATCTGGGTGGAAAATAGCTTTCACTTTACGCAAACCCAAAAAATGGATCGAGGTATGACGGAGCGTCCAACGTCTGGGTGCTCCCGCTTCAACCAAACCAGATCGGGGCCGGCTTCAAGAGAAGTCTGTCAGCCTTCCATCAGAGCCGCTCATTGAGCGCTTGCGATGTGTTGCTTGTCTTTTTCGCTAATCGGGATGCCTGCACAACTGTCTACAAACTGGTGACCCGTTGCGGGAAAGACGAAAAACGACGAGAGGCACCAATCAGACACGGGAAGCGGTAGCTGTCACACTTCTGGCCAGAGTCGCATTGTCCAAAGCTGTGTCGTATATATCGCGCCACCGTTAGATGCCGGCCGCGAGTCATACCGCCTTGTTGACAATGCATGGTTCTAATCGCTCCGATATCCCTGATGTGCATTGATCTTTCCAGCCGCATCGGTTCCTCTTGTCACAATGAACTTGCTGCTAGAAGCGACCGTGGTCTCGTCTTTATTCCTCGTGACCCAGGCAGAAGCAGAATCTGATTGGATATGCATCGCTCCGGATTTCTCGAGCGGACCTATACCGCCCGTCCTGCCGGATTCTTACCACATGGTGTTTGAAGTGAATGATCTCGTCGGAAAGAAGCGACATACAGATGAAGTTTGGTGAGCATTGTCTTCTAACCAAGAATATTCCTCAATTTCCATCGGCATCGAGCTTCAAGCGGATGGTGCCGCGTGAGACTCTCGAGCCAGAGGCTCGGCCGTGGCTCTGCACTTCCTACGACCCTGAGTCTGAGATTTCCGATAGGTACGACTGGCCGAATCAGAGAGCCCGGATCCGAGAAGTCGATGATTCTGGCGTAGCGAGAGAGATCGTGAGTTTCTACAACTCCAACACCGGCTTCCGCTACTCGGAGGGCGGAAAACAATCCGTTGACGGGGACGTCAACCGATTGAACAGTTGTGCAGTTTTCAAATTGAGCGAACACAAGAACACTCCGCTCTTTGAAAAAGGTGGTCGACCACTGAACATGGTTGATGTGTACCAGTCTCTACTTTTCGGCGGGAAATATCAATTTGCATTCATGGACAGTGTCGCGGACGCAACGAGCAGATTCATCAAGAGCAATAGGTTCACGTCTTGCATAACGGACAGGGTCACGGGTCGACGACTCAATGTGACTTATCACTGGACACTGGATGGTAAGACATCATAGTCCCGGAAATCATAGATTCATGAGAACATTGCTCGTTGGATCTTCCGCTCGCTGAAGGGATGGGTATCGCTCTACAAAATTTGGAGCTCCTCCGCTCCGCAGGAAAGAGTCCCATCAGGTTCGAAATCGACGGCGGAGCTCTCGATGGCGATAACAATACAGAATACAGAATTCGTCAAGTGGCTTCAGTCTTGCGGTTTGATCGGGATCCCGAAATGGACAACGATCTCTTCGTGGTGAGTTTCCGGCTTCGAGAGATTGACTAACTCGATGACCGCAAGGGACCGACCCATGTCTTCTCGTCAGACGAGTGAGCGGCCACCGTCTAACTCTACTCTCTGTGAACTCTAGGTCCCACGAGACCTCAAATGTTCAGATGATCCTCGTATCATACCCGTCGACGAGTTCCCGCAGCTCTCGCAAGATTTCGCTTGGCGGGAGGAGACTCTGTTTTCCGCTCGAGACCAAGATGGCCGCGTGCTTGCAAATGAGACCTCAATCGAGAACCGTCAGGTAGGTTTGTTCGTTCCTTCAATTCCTCCAAATCCAAGAAATCCTCATGAGAATGATTTTGACAAACGCGCACTGTGTGCTCTCCTTGCGTAGATTTATTCATCAAGAATTTTCGGCCTCGTCCGCATGGACTGGATCCCGACGCTCCGGGACGGCAAGATGTTTCAAGATTACATTGGCAAACCGATCACGGTCATTGCCGATGTTTTTTTCAAAGCCATTTTCATCATTGAAAAAAACACGGGCTCTTGCTCAGTGCTGCCCATGGCCGGAGAATTCGCGCTCATTAAACAGACTGGAACCGCTTCTTTCGACATCCGAGAGCCTCTGGATCTGCTTGGCATGACGACCGAGCACGTGGAGAAGGGAGAGGTGAGCGACATCATGCCGTACCGCACGTCACCGACCGACCGGAGAAATCCTTGGAGATTCATGAGTGAATCTGGAAAATTCGCAGAACATGCTTTCCAGTACGTCGAGAGAGGATCCCGCGTCACCGTATTCAGTGACATCGACGAAGCACCGGATGGAACGATCGAGGTTCACGAAGCCACCTTCAGGTACGATGAAGAACTCTCTCAACTCTCGAATGGGGCTTTCATTTTCGTCCCGACGTCGCAGCTCAATCGGAAATTTTTCGCAGCCATCGACGAAAGAACGAAGGTGAGTTCTATTGTGCAAGCTGTCTGCATGCAGCCTTGAGGGGAGATCGAGAGGCTGCTCGAAGGCTGTGAGGATACGATCGATATCGACCCTGTTTAAGGCGTTCGAGAGCACTGAGAAGACTTCATACTTCGACTTCAGAGCGGACTACGCGCATCTCGACGTCTTCGAGGCGGCTATGTGCGTGGCCAACCGCAAGAGACGTTTCTTCCGTATAAGCTTTAGGAGTGAGTGACGTCAAGTCTCTGAGCATTGCATTCTTCCGGGAGATAAATCAGTCTGCGTACGTGACAGTCCGATGAGTCGCTCCCGTACAGATATCGATTCTGCTATCGACCGACACAACGATTTGATGGGATGATGAGGAATAAAGACCCGATTCAAATTTCAGCCGACTTCAAAGAAGTCATTTACGGCAATGGATATGAGTTCCTCAATCGACTCCGAGACATGATCGCGAGGACTGGAAATCTGGGTACAGTTATGCGGGTTCAGAAACTCAAAGTGAGTTAGCAGCAATCCCTCACATGTAGACGTCAGCCGGAAGCGTTGAATCTCCCTTCCGATGGCACTCGGCTTTGATGTGTTTCGCCAGATGCTCGAAGACTTCGAGAAGAATAGGATTCACGTGAGCATGACGCTACTGGAACCCTTCCCGGAGCTCGTGAACGCAATTCAGACAACAGTGGACAGCGCCAGAGACGAAATCGTCAGAGCTCTGAATGACAGGCAGCTGGCGGTGCCCATAGAGTGGCAGGTGCGTCGTTTATCGCAAGCGGAGCTCGAGCCGCCCCCATTATGAGCTCATCTCCCAAGGAGAGGTTCTCTATGATGGTACGATATTCTGACAGTCGCCCGCTCTTATAGGGAGGAACGAATACCATCGTGCCCGAGGCGGGCTCCTTCGTCGAATTGGAGCTCTCACTCAAGGAACGAACTACTCCTCCGAAAATGCTGGAAACCAGCATGTACTCAGCCGAGTTGACGATCCCTGGAAAATCTTTCCTGGCAGGTTTGTTCCGGGAATGCGAGCAGGCCAGTCGCTGCCCATACCTATGCTGAAGGCCGAGATTTCGGTGCGGCCTTCCAGCCCTTTGATAATGAGTTCTGGTTGATGTCATTCTTCGGCTCAGGCTGACTGTCCATGCTTCTGCACGACGGAGGTACCCGCGGGTTTCATCGACATCGAGGTAGCGAGGCGCTTGCAGGGTCTCATGTTGTCTATCGATTCGCAGTTGATGCTGCGGTTCTTTGCGTCTGCGTCTTCCTTGTCGGCATCGCGGTAGGTTTCTCGGGAGTCGCCATTCGTCGAGCGCTTCCGTCAAGGCGGAGTAATGTTCCGATTTGACTTTGGACCTCGCTTCGTGACGGTGATAAGACGAATCGAAGACGAATAAGCGGATTCTTCGTCACATATCATTCAAACACTCATCGAGATTGTCCGAGAACCTCGGCCTCTCGCGAATTCGGGAATAAAATGTTTTTGTTCCATCAGTATCAGAAAGCATTTATTGGAAGAGCATCATGCTCGAAGTGAATCGCGGCTGCCGGGAGGAGCATCATGCCTCGGGGGCTTGCAACTTAGGTAGCAATGACGAAAAACTCGTTACGGGTTAAATCTGTCGACGCGTGCAAACTCCTCCGAGGCACTGGAGTCCTGTCATGCATCGTGTCGAAGGCGGACCGGGGCTGAGCGTTATTGGACAACTGGCGCCTTCGTCTAAAACATTCAAAGATTTCTTTTGCCTCAGCGATCCTGTGAGCAGCGGGAATTCCCGTCCGCGGCCTAGAGTGGCGACGGCGAAATACTCACCGAGCAAGGTGACGCACATCGGACAGCATCCGCAGAAAGTTCCATGCAGCTCAGTGACCTGATGTGGCTCGCACTCGATCTGACGACATCTTACGCCATCGCAAAAGTCTGGTGGACACACAATAGCATCTGAAAATTCTACCACGATCATGGTAATCAGAAGCGACGGAAACAGCATTTCGGTGGTCGAGGGTAGGGAAAGTCGCGACGATGCGCAGGAAACTCCAAAAGGTAGTCTGCTGACTAGGGAGAGAGGTGTTGATTAAGATGAGTGGAATGGGAAAAAACTTCTGCGCTCATAATTCCAAACCACGCATGCCCATTATTCCGGAAGGCAGAATCTATCTAGACTCATTGCGAGTCAGGCTAGATAGAGCGTGTGACACGGCTTCGGAGCGAGAGTCTAGCCGCTGAATAGCAGGCGATCAGACCAGTCATCAATTCCTATTTCACTGAGAGAGCTTGCTCTGTGGCAGGCATTCCGCATAGCTCTTCTCTCTCATCTTCCATAGCCTCTCCGTAGTGCTGAGATTCCCGAAACAAACAGCTGAATAGAGTCAGCGCTCAATCGAGTAAAACGCCTTTTCGTGAACCTTCGTTCTGGTCCCGGTCGTCGCGTGACGTTGAACGTTCCCGATTTAGTGGTCTGTCTCTAAGAGCTCGGTGGGCGGCGACATGCGGAGAGGCTTCCGATCGCCGCCGGGGAGCATCTGGGGAGGTCACTGTACCTCGATATCGTTCCCTGCGGGTTGACCCTTGTCGACCTGCCGCGCTGGGAGTACAGGAGCAATCCCTCGACTTGCATTCTTCTGAATCGATCGCGTCGATGCCGTCCTTTAAAGAGATGACATCATTATCGCAGTGAAGCCGCACATCATTAGACTTTGTCAGAGCGTGATCGATGGCTTCAGCGTTTTATGTGGAGGCCGATTGCATTTCCTCGAATCGCTTCTGATCTCTCGGCAGTTTTCTCATTGCTTCCATCGATTGCCTCGGATGTTCATGAGACAATCGATTCCTTTCCGCCATTCTGAAAAAGCGATGTCTGCTCACTCGCGCCGAGCATTCATCCGAGAGGAATGCCCCGCGACCCTGACTAGCCAGGGAATTCCGAATCATGGGTCAGCAGATCATTATTGTTACCCCCTCTCGAGCGGCTTCCCGAGACTTCATCGCCTCCTGGGTGAATTTTCCTCGTGGTAAAGTTCTGATCGGGGTCGATCATAAGGCGTATCCCGAGCGTTTCCGAAACCCGTCGCGCAAGTCCGCTGCGTCGGCATCGCAGGTCATGCTTGGAAGTAGTGCCCGGACCTGTGCGGCCAGAGGATACTTCTAGCGAGCCAATGAGTCCGGAACGATCTCAGGGCTGATCTCCGTCAGCGAATCCTCCAGTTGAGCGATGGATTTACGCCAGTGGTTCCAAACCTGTGAACCACCGCCCCTCTCATCGGGGAATCTTGAGCCGTGCCCCCGCGCACTCACCGAAGACAAAAATTAAAACGAGGGCTTCATTCGCAAAATCGGGTACAAACTTTTGTTTTCATCTCAGGTCATCTCAGGGACCTTTCGGTTCCCACTCCCTGCGAATATCTTCTGTCGATCAACTTCGATCCTAGTTATCTTGAGACGAGGATTTTGGAGAGAGTTCCCAATTCCTCCGGAAGCCCGAAATCCACTGCCGATAAATCCTTAGTCCGCCGCTCCCCCCCCAAGCTTGCAGTTTGTTTGACCAAACCACCCATGGTGTGCATTACTTCAAAGTTGAATCATCGGCGCACAACAACCGCGCAGGTAGATGAGGAGGGGAAAATTCTGATGGAGTTCCCTGAATTAGACGCGAAGCAAGCGACTTCTACGGTGTCCCACTCATCACGGGGCTGGAATATCTCGAACACAGGTGCACATGGTGGTTCTCACAAGTAAACATTCTTTTTTGAAAATGACAATCACCAGGTTTGACATGCTTTTCTGAAAGTTTCCGAGCCCCGGAGCAACCCCGAGTCGTTTTTCCCTGCTGTCCTGCATTTCATGCCCCTTCCCTGCGGGCTCCGAAACCCGGAAAAACACCATTTACATCGAAACCCGGGATATTTTGCTCATATATCAATAGAAATGGGTCTTTCCGGGCTTCGGAACCTGGGGAAAACATTTCCATCAAAATCCGAGAAAAATATCTCGGATTTCAATGTAAATGGTGTTTTTTCCGGGTTTCGGAGCTTGCAGGAAAGGGGTATGATATGCAGGACAGCAGGGAAAAACGACTCGGGGTTGCTCCGGGGCTCGGAAACTTTCAGAAAAGCATGTCAAACCAGGCGATTGTCATTTTCAAAAAAGAATGTTTACTTGTCAGCATACTATTGCAAGCGCTCGCGATGGTCACGTCCTCGAAACCTTTTCGCCCTCCGGAGACTGCATGGAGCACGCAGAGAGGCTCTATGAAGGGATGGGTCCCGGCCGCGGTGAGCCAAAATACAACTCCGATGAGCCTGAGCTTCGGAAAATCGGTATCTAGTCGTTGCCACGAGGAGATCACGCGGAGCATGAGCTCCGGGACCAGGGAACCAGCGGGAACCGTCCGGGTGGGGGGCCAGTCCCCATGACTGTTCTTATCGTCCCGCGCTGAGCGAAGAACCTACGAGAGCTGTGAAGAAATCACGCTCGCTATTCATGTGCATTGTAGACTTTGTCCGCTAGAGAGGGAACAAGATCTATGATCGACGTCATGGTCTTGGTCGCATCGATGGAAGTCCTCTGAATTGCGCAATCGCGAGCTGTGAGAGCTCGTTCTCAATTCCTGCTTGCTGGTGGAGCTTGAGCAATGCTCTAGTTACGCGATAGTGCGTGGTATTCAAGAGATCAAGTGGTCGATTCCGGGACGATGAACTTTGGCCATTTGACTGAGACATTCGGGAGGCTTGAGCGGAGAACAGATGGACGTGTGCTAGTCTAATGCGAGTACATGCAAGCGCCGACTGAGAGCCGAAGCGTTCTATATTGAACTTAGAATAATTCGAAATCCTGCCGACTACCCTTCTCTCGACTCCAGAGTCCAGGGAAGACGCCTCCAGAGACTGCTCTATGCGGGCGAGTCGGCGATCCGATCGAGACAGACGAAAATATCAATCATCGGAGGGCACTGCCTAGTAAAGAGGAAATCTCGAATGGAAAACGAAACTCTTTCACAGATAGCCTCCTTCCCGGCCAGCAGAGGGAAGAAATGGCGACCCGGAATAAGGATGCGCAACATTGAGCTGCCGTTCGCTCGTGGAACCCCTCGCTCTTTTCCGGGAAGCAGAATCTAGGGCGAGTCTTCCTGATCATAAAGCGGAACAGGCCAAGGGACCTGCGGCAGATCGGCTCGAATGCCCGGAGGTCAATTGGGAGACTGAGGAGATTTGAGGGAGTGAGGATCCAGCAGCGGCAGCTCGAAGAAGACAGACGTCACCTGTCGGGACATATCTTGATACCGCAAATAGTAAGAGAGATAGGCAATTTTGGGAAAATGTATGAAACAGACGAGCAGTTTCTGATAAACCCGCTTTTTCGAGTGTGAGACTTCAGATAACCGAGTTGCGCAGGGTGCTGACAGTAGCTCGCGGCTTCTTTGTGAGGGTATCTAGTATGCTCGAGGTACTCACTAGAGTTCTTCAAAATATCTCAGTGAGCCACTGTGAGTGTCCGAACTGAATTCCCTCGCTGGCGGACGGGAGGAATAGACGGGGAGTCTCCAATGAAAGGACACGTTTTTATTGTCAAAACACAGACTAAGATGCCCTCTGCTTGGAATATTCTCAAGCATGCTTGCTTACAGGCGGATCACTGAGGGACCACCACTGAGGAAGGAAGGCCAGCTACATGTGGTGGATATATCCATTTAGCCCGAACGAGGAGCCACGTACGTGGCGTAGGAGAATGCCAACGTAATCATGAAGGGTGCTCCTACGCTTCAATCAATCATAAGGAGCTCTCGCAACGGAAACTGTACAATGGGATCCGGATAGAGATGTCCGCGGGTAGTGGACTTGAGCGAGCGAAGTATCTACAGCATTGGCATTATTACACTCAAGATGATTGAGAGAGAATTAAACGACGTCTCGTATCCGCTCAAGCTGCCTCCGAGGATTCGGGATTCCAAGGTGATTCGATTCCCCGGAAGTAGTTGATACTGTGCTCATCAATGGCATGCGGCCGACTTCTGATGACGAAGTTGAAATGCGAGAAACGCCAGTCAGGAATGCGGTGCAGGTTACCATCCGGCACGTTGAGATCTTCTCGAACCTTGAAGGTTTCCTGGAGAGAGATGTCATGATCACTGCTAATACTCTCAAAGCGAGCCATGTAAAGCCGCAAGATCGGCCTGTACGTCATGCAGCTTCACCTTGCTTGTTATGAGGACGTCCCCGTCACTGTAATATATTTTCAGGTCGATGTTCACGTTTTTCGCATCGAGGAGCGGTGGTTCGGCGGTCCCATATATTTTGAGGTTCTTTGAGGCTCTCAGACCCAGCTTAGTGAATAGGCGGGGAATCAATCCGTAGTCGTGATCAAACTCTCTCATGTTTCCGTCACAACCGATCTGCCGACTCTGCGGAAAGTGAGTGGAAATATTTACTTTCGTTGAGAGGCTCAAGTGGTGTCTGAATCCGAGAAGTAGGAACTCAGAGTTTCGCTGCTCCGCGGGATTACATAGTTCTCCCAACCGTGGTGCATATCAACCCCCTTAGTGAGCCACCAGGGCTGCAAGAAGGGCAGTCTACGAACCTGAGCATACCACATGAAGTTTCTCAAAGAGCTACCAGCGGGGAAGTTTTTGCCGTAAACACCTACTCTTGACTGGAAAGGAAATGAGTTGAGGGGAGCATTCGTGCATTTTAGCGGTCATGAATTCCGAGGCACCTCCTCCGGAGACTTACAAAATTGAGATAGTAGTTCGATTCGAAACCTAGAAAGTTGACACCCAGGTATTCGCAGAGTTTCGCAGTTCTCGAACAGGACGAGAAGTCCACATCGAGAACCTGCCTCGTGGAAACCAAGTCGAACAGGTAATCCTGGAATCGAATCGGAGTTCCACAATATCGGTTCATCAAATCGATCTCAGAGCTAGCAACTCCCGAAATTCTGACAAACGAAAAGTTTTTCCCGTTTGTCAGGATTCTGTGCTACTGAAGCTCTACAGAGACAGAGAAAGCGTCTCGGGACCTCAGAAATTAGGAATTTGCCCGCACTCACGCCGAAAATGTCGTAAGGTAAAGCAGCGACCATGTATCTGATGTCGTTGTTGTAACAAAAACTTCGGAAGCCCCCGTAGCTCGAGGCTTTCGCAATCTTAGCGTTGTATGCTGGCTTCTTCGACAGCAGCGCGTACAAACTGGCGCCGCCTTGCGATACTCCAACGTAGTTCACCTGGGAGATCGGGGAAAGAGAAAAGCTGTGATTTGTGATCATACTCCTCCTCAGACTGCGGATACCAAGACAAAATGATCTGGACCGGACCTCACCTTCTTGTGTCCCGTTTCTCGGAGAACATAGTCGATCTGTTCCGCCAAATCAATCGCTCCAATCTCGACGATCGTGAATTCATAGAAGTCGTAGTGATCTTTCTCAGGGTCAAGGCGCTTGTGCTTCCGCCCATAGCGAGTGCCTCGATTATTCACGAGCCATACGTCGAAATCCGCACCCGCGTATGCGAAGGCTATGAAATAGAGTCTCGTAAGCGAGTCGGCGTCGCGTCGTACTGTCAGTCGTCGGGCCTATGGCTCATTTTGATAGAGTTCGATCTCTATGAGGAAAAAAGTGCACAGTCCCGCGTAGCGATATGGTCAGCGTCTTTCGTTATCAGCATGACACCCTTTGTTCGTCGGATTCTAAGAAGCGCGTCAAGCGCCGGAGATACGTAGTAATCGTCTGGGCCTTCATAGTAGGTCGATCTCATTCAGACTCAAAATGATACCATCCCAAGCCAAATAATTTATCCGTCAATCTGATTTTCTCAATGAAAAAGTTCCCTCGGGCAGAGATGATTGGCTCGGGGGAAAAGGAGTCAACGCAAGTTCCTTCATAGAAAGCCGTATCCCGAAGAGGCTCAGAGAAGTATTCTCTGTGACCGAAGATTAACAAGCTGAATCTGGATCACGAGATCAAGACACAAACAAGAGGAGGGCGCAATCTCATTTGCCGCGCTTGGCGGTCTCCGATAGAATTAGACTGTCTCTCCGAGATATCTGCTTCTCTCATGGCATGACTCTCTTAAGAGGTTCGACAGTACGCGGCTCCAATCCACCGTTAAGTCCAAAGACATGGCGACTCGAAGGCTTACCCAATGACGGCACGAAATCGAAGTGTCCTTGAGCCGGGCCACGGGGTGACCACCGCTCTCACAACCTTCGAACATCGCGTCTCCTCCGGTCACGCGTGTCGATATCAAAGAACATCGATCACGGTCTTTTGTGCTTTCTATCTAAGCTCGACATTGCATCTTCTCGATCGGAGTACACTCGACACAAAGCCTACAACCAGATTCCACAAGAATCGGATGAGATAAGATCTCTCTTTCGACGGTACTCACCGATACCATCAGGATCCATGACATAACTGTTGGAGGTCCCCAAAAGATGCGCTCCGATTACAACTGGCAACGAGGATCTGTCCACGGAGTCTTCGCGCCATAATCGATGGAATTCGATGTGATAACCGTCAGACGTTATAATTTCATGCCGCGAAAAATTGAAGCCCCGACTCGTTATGAAACCTTCCTGGGAACGGAACGATTTCGTTCATTAGTATCGAGTCAATCTGCTTCTTTTCACCCTGAGGAAGCACCTCGGGGCCCAAGATAACTAGGCTGGCTTCGAAGCTCCCGATTCCTGCTACCAGTGATATCCTGGAAGGAGACTCCCGTCTGTTTCTCTCACGAAGCTCCCTTCAGAACTTACTCACGATGTCTTTATCCTCGTCTGGATCGTATGGCTTGGGGAGTGCTCGATCGATGAACTCGTTAAGTGAACCCGTCGAGCGAGCCCACTGCAAGACAGATATCGAAAGGCATCCCACCACGATCGACAACACGAACCACGACCGGAACCATGGTCTCTTTGGAGATTCCATCCTGTGCGCGGATTCGGACACGAACTACTTTGGCAGGAACGTGTCAGCGCTCACATTGCCCATCTTTTGGATTGTTGTATCAGGACTTAGCTGTGACGTTGTCCACCGCTCTCCCAAACGAATCTCGCTTATCAAGTGGACAGAGAATTGGAAAAGAGGCAAGGCCGTCGCTGATGATATTGTGCCCAAGATTGGACCACTCGGTTTGCGATGAGACCGACAAAATGCAACACTCATTGCAGGAATTAAAAGGGTGACCTTTGAGCCGGAGCGCAATATCGACCTGTGTCTCTTGAGCCATGAGAAGAAACCGCGTGCCAGCCGCTGTTTCGAGTCGATGAAGCGGCGGACTACCGTTTCGCTGTAGTTTGCCCGCGTCATGATTCTCTTTTGGACTCTTATCCTGTTCCGCTGTCCTCGTGCGCTGATGGTGATGGGACCGCGAGAAAAAGCTGGGGTTTGCAGCTGACTTCGAAGCTAGCGCATTTCCCAAGTGTGGTTGCGGTCGAGGGAATGGCTGAGCTTACCCGATCAGGAATCTTCGGAGAGGGTTGTCATTCGGTTGCGAATTCATCGAGGAGAATAATAATCAGTCCGTGCTCATCTGTTTCCGCCCTCCCGAACCCAATGTTGTTTCTCGCAGGTGAATAACCTCGATGTAACGCGAGGCGCAACTAAGTTGTTCGCCATGTTTGCGAAACAGCCGGCATATTACCGCAAGATATCATTACCTGTTTTCCCAGCTAGGATCCGGAGTCTACCACTGCAAATCTCCGACGAGCGAACCGTTCTCCGTGTCCACCGCGACTGAGTCACGGCGAGTGATCTCTGGGCGATGACCTGCTTGATGCTCGATCTATTCTCCATGACCTCTTCTCTCGCTGACTCTCACAGCTGACTCGCCGAAGCTCAAGGTCTCACGCGAAACTGCATTGAGCTTGAGGAAGACCAAGTTGAGAAGCTACGAATGAAGGGCAGTAGATAGAATTCGCTAAAAGAGACCGAGGTCATCGCAAGGGCCTGGGAGCTCTATCGGAAGGGAAGCATTATAGATACGGGGAGATGAAGCGTTCTCTACAAGGGCATTGAAACACAAAGGAAGAAAGAACAAAGAAGAAGTCCTCATCTCGCGCAATAATCCAAAGTCGACGCCCGACCGCTTCCGTTCTTCTCTACGATACGATCATTGATAGATAGTCGATGGTCCCAAAGAAGCCTCATCGGAGGTCGAAACGGACTCTCATCACAGACAATCTAAATCTTCATTCATTTATTATGTGAATCCTTCATCGCTCATGAGATTCCCGGAAAAATGCGAATATTCCGGATTCCCTCGAGACCACTCTGCTCATCATTCCCGATGACGGAAAGGCGGAGGCATTCCGCCGAGAAGAAGTCCCCGAAGTCTTTTGGCCCCAATTCAGGACACAACATGATTGGATTTCTATCCGGTATCGAGGCCACGATCCTGTTTCTCCCCAGGTCACCCAATTCTGCAGGTTCGGATACGGCCTGCGTATCGAGATAGCTTCATTGGTGAAGTTGGAGCGAATTCGGAGACAGCGATCCCCTGATCACATTTTGGTTTGAAGGGAAGCTTTCAGGCGAGACGTTCCTCCGATCTCCGGCCTGGTCGGCGTCGAATTTTCAGGATTCCACTCGGACTCGATCCCTGTAAAATAATTGACGCCATACTCGTCCAGGTCACGCGGTCGAAGTGTGAAAATCGCCAATCCCCGATGCGGTGGAAATCTCGATCAGGTACCTTGATATATTTTTTGACTCGCAGAGCTTTCTAGAAATGAAATGCTGAGAATATGCTCTTGCTATATCATTGCAGTTCGCTCCGAGGGGCGGAAGGTGCTACATGATTTAATGGAAGGAGGGGACCGCGATTTCTGATGATTCGAGCCCAGCTCGGAGGGACGAATTAATCACCATCAGCGTATTCGATTTTCATATCGATCTTGGAGTTCCGCGCATCGAGTACGGGCGGTTCCGTCCTTCCGTATATTTTTCGAGACTCTCACGCTCGACCCCGTTAGCAGGCGAGATATGACTCAATAATCGTAATCGAAGTTTCCCATGTTCTCAGCGCAGACGAATCGCAAATTCTGCGGGGAGATAATGATATCATTCGCTCTGATCCTCTTGATATTCGTGCAGATGAGGCAGACACGCAATTCGGAGGCGAACGGACGACACTCGTTCCCCGATACATCTCGGAGCGCCTTCGACTTCTCGTCCACGTAAGCTTTTCACTTGTCTCTACCAAAGGGTCTGCCATCGGGTGTCCGTATGATGTATGATGGGGAATATGAGAAAAACCAGGAACAGTATGTGGTTGATAGTAATCGAAATGTACCAAACAAAAAATTATCTTCAAATCATCGCCAAATTATACATCATCACATGTCTGAGATCATTATCATATTCATGATAATTTGCTGCTTGGTACGTGTCGATAATCCGCCACCTTCTGTTCCTATTCACTTTGTATTGAATATGTCCGAATATTCCCTATCGTATTCCATCCTGAGTATGTCCACAAGCAGGGATATTTATCTGCAAGAGATGTGCCAGGGTATCTCTCGTGTGAGTCGGATACCACATCCTATGCTCCGTTTCCTTATCCGTCGACGAATTCTGAATCATCGGGAATGACGGACGAAAGGAATCTCGAAACTGCCAGGAGGGGAGAGCCGAAGGGAGCTAACGGTATCCACGTGTGACTCTGGATAATTATTCAATGAGAACGGACAGGAATTCGCTCTTTCTCTCCGAATCTCAGATTATTGCTGCGACTTTTTGCTCCCAACTGTGGAGTTTGGGTCATGATGATTCGAGTGATCGACTCCTTCCATAACGGGCTGCTCCCTGCCTTCATCAACAAAAATCGGAAGCATGACGACGAGCTGTCGTGGGGTTGAACATATTCGCGTCGCGCAAGCCTGTGAGAAGTTCGCGTTGGACGCACTCAACGACTTGACGACGGCTTCTGCTGACGAGTTCAAATCAGACCCTCTCCTACAGAGAACAGAGTACAGACCTTTCAGGAGAATTACCGGTAGCCTTAGCTCCCAGCCCAGGAGATTGACGATAGTTAAGGCTGGGAATCATTCACGGCAATTTCCTCGAGAATTCACGGCAATTTTCACCCCCTATTGACTTCCTATGGAGGATCGCCTGAAAATGCCGTGAAAATTCACGGCTTCCGGCGCGACCGCGCCAACTTCCCAGCCCTAACGATAGTTGTTGCGGAGAATAATTTGTTCTACTACAGGTTTTGACTGAGATGAGGTGATGACCTGACGTCTTCCCTGATAGAGCGGATCATCGGTCTATTCGCCACGGAGGCGCTTACCTTCTCCTTGATAACTCGCTGCAGGCGCGGCATTGGGATTTCTTAGTACCAAACTCGGGGATAGAGCGACCCAGGCTCCTACATCCAGATCATGAGATCATGAGGCATCTGGTTCAATGTATTGTAGAGCAGTTTTTCTCTTGAAATCCCGGGAATTCCAAAAGAAGAGATTCGTAAATCGGAGAAAACCAGAGGCTCTTCGCTCGTACGCTGCGCTGTCAGCTGAAAAGCCCGATACAGCATCAAGCTTCATAGCTCTGGAAATACTTCTGGCACATGCCTTAGGTCTATCAGTCGTGACTGGATGGTCAGGGCAAGCCTCTCACAGACTCTGATTCGGTCTCCTACCGTAGCAGAGGTCGAGGGAAAGACATCGCTTGGCTCAGAACGGTTTGTCGTTGAATCGATTCGAATTATGCCTCGAAATGCACGAGCGATCTATGATGAATTGTCTCACTTATCAGTCGAAGAATTCGGTATCCTGAACGGGCAGTCTGGGGCAAAGGGAACCGTACAAATACCTGAAAGCGAACATACAGACCTGGCCAATCATTGCTCAAATGTTTCAGTGCCTTCCCCCCTCCGCAGGCTGACGCGTGAGCCCCGAATCTGGACTGCGGAAGGACGTACTCATGCTATCGGTCTGATATCGTTTTCGGTCTAAGCAGGTGGTTTAATATTTCGATCAAGAGCCGGTGTTATTTCTCCGAGGGAGAACGTACTTTGTTGAAATGGTGCATCGACGAGCAGCCCACAATGTAGAGACTAGCGAATTCGCTGACTTGCTTGAAGCTCGCAAAGAATGTGAACCTCAGCTCAATGATTGGTGTCGCACAGACTTGTGGTCACACCTGTGCGTGGAGAATTCGATTACATATCACGGAACAGTTCGGTCGGGATCTCTCCGAGCACGAATGGTTATCGCCGGCGAGTGGAAGAAGTTCAGGTCGATCTCTCCGATTTCTTCCTCGAACTTCGCAAAGTGAGTCGTGCTGGCTGTGGACGTCTTCAAAAATTCATACCGTTCCCGGATCCCCTAGGCAGGAGGGAGGCGTCGCGTCGATGCCGTCTAAATTGAGCGAACAAAGAACACCTGCGATATCTGATCCATACTCAGTTCGAATCATTTCATGGGTCATTATCAGGGCTGGACTTGCTACACGGCTTTTCAGCTCAATCTCAACGGCGAAGTCACGTTTTTCTCGGAGGACAACAGCGAACACAGATAATCTTTGACCAGGGGTGAGCATTTTCATTCTCTGGAGTGCACGTTGAGTGGAGAGCTGCAAGAGAAAGCTGAAGATATGCCCAGGAGCAAGATAATTATGCAGGACATAAACAGATTGGAAATAAGACAGATGATTCCCCCTAGATGCATCGACGCCTCCCTTTGATTGAAAAAAATAGCGTTCGATGAGAGGCGAATGGCCAGAGTCGAGGCCTCGAGCTATGAAGTGCCGAAATCTACGGCTTTTGTCGCGACCGTGGATGCCGCGGCGTGTCAACATTATTGATCCAAATGCAGACATGTCACTCATAGAATGATGCCTTATTTTCTCGGTGCCGAACATTAGATTGGAAATGGTAGGGACGGTCTGCCGGATGTCGGCCAGCGTGGTGCTGACATTGTGCACAAATATGTAGTATATGCGCTAAAACCGAATAAAGTTTTTCAGATTGGAATCTACATGGCCAATCAGACAAAGCTTGGAGATTTTCCCGGTGACTGTGAGGTTCAATTGTCGAAACATCCGTTGAGAGAGTTCGATTGCTCCCTGTTTCCGTGAAATATTTTCTGACACCCTAACGGTACTTTCTCCACTCATCCATAGCTCAGGATCGCCTTTCCATCACACCGTTGTTCTCGGAAAATCCGGGAATATCTCGATGTGTTTTGTCAGTCTTCGGGTTCCCTAGCCCGCTCCCCCGTATGCCTCCTTGCTGTCCCGACCGATTTTCCTCTCGAAGTTTACATCAGCTGCGATGACTTATCGAGATATGATGCGATCTGTCAAGCGAAACTCAGATGCTTATTAGCTCAGCCGGTGTATGGCTCCGAGGTTCGACTAGGACGCGCCGAATCCTGCTCGCGGCACTTTCTCCGCTCAACTCTCGTGAAGATATCTCTCAAGAGAGAGATCCTCTCCACGCTCGTGACGCCTCCCTTTTTCGAACTAGGTCGAGAAGAGCTCCGAGATGAAGTTTCGAAAAATAATGTTGTGTACGAACCCTTATTCGGGCGCCCGATAGTCTTCAGAAGGGGAGCCCGCATTCAATACCACTATATGTACTTCTGCGCTCACATCGTTCGTCAACTGAAATCATCCTTACAGAACTCACAGACGATTCTCATTAATACCCTTCTCCCGGCCCATCAATTCTCACTCAGACAGGTGTACGCCTAATTATTGGGGAATCACGGACCGGGATTGCTGCTTTCAACCTCTGGAGGGGAGCCGATTGTGCAATGATGACGCGTTGAATCTCTTCGCACAGGGCGCGATTTTGATTTGAGCGCTTGGTTCATCACAGCGGACTGAACCCGAGTCGGCGCAGCAGGTGGTACGTCCGCCGGTCCAACTTATCTTGAATCATAGCCGAACCAAACTCGGATGGCAGCGCCTCTGACAATTCCACCATGCGCTCAGATCAATCCAGCGCCCAAGACAATTGTGATATCAGATCATGCGCTGAAATCGATTTCGCTCAAATATATGCGCCCATGCGCCCAGAATAATCAGAACAATTTGCGCCTCAATTCTTTCCTGGGGGCTTGTATGTATCCGAGAGCGGTCTTTATCCGAGAGCGGCGTTCATCGGGAGATCTCGGTGACTCGAATGGATGAGTCTGTCTCAAGCGTCCCGGTTCTAATTTGACCCAGTAGAAACATAGGGTAAGAAATCATGAGTCCACTACATGAATCATATATTCTCCGTAATCTGAGTCATAAGAATGATTGCCTACTGGTCTGTACCCATTGAGCGGACTTTTTCACGGAAAATGATTACGTTTCAGGACCCCAATCAAGACATACCCAAGGAGAAGGTCAAAACCCGTCAGAACACTCCTGATTGGAGCGCTCCATCTCACCGTCAGACCCTCGTCTTGCGAGGCAAATGAAACTTTGGCGAACTCTGCATCGAATTCCTCATGCAGGTACTACGTAGTGCGGTCTCCCGGGAAATCGCGACCAGTCATTTTGCTGATTCCGAGACGCTCAGTTTCGGTATTCGAAATGGAAGTCATACTCGAAGTCGACCGGAGTCGAGCGATGCTGTTCCAAGTTCCAAAATATGGAGAGATGTTCGAATCCGGTTCAAGCGGATGGAGGACGGTTCCCCCTCTATCGTCTCACGGCGCCTATATCCTAATCCGAAAGCGAACGAAAGACGGAGTCTTATGCTTCCGCCCGAGTTCCGTGAGTCGTAGATTGCAGGGTGATGCACCGTAAGCTTGCGCACCTATTGGATGATAAGCAATCCGATTTCGAGGTTCGATCGGAGATATGGACGGCGTGAATGATGCTAGCAGTGGCGTTCCGAGTGTTGATGGCGCCCGAGTCAGAACTCGCCCCCTCAAGCACTCCTAGCCCGAATGGCGACCACGAGAATTCCAGCGCCGAGTTCCACGTCAAGATGCGAAGTCCGTTAGGGACATCCCGTCCTTCGCTTGTCACCACTCGGAGCAGCATTCTCGCGGACAAGACAAGTCGATGCCGACAACTCGATGACTGAGAGGCTCGACTCAGGACAGCTCGATGCCAGACGGCTCGATGCCGTTCCAGCTCTACGCCAGGACACTTCGATGCCGGACAACTCGATGCCGAGAGCTCATTGCGGGCTCTACTCCACATACTTGCGGATGGAATCGTGATACGCATGGAGCCCCCTTTCCCCGGATCCGTGTACGATTGGACAACGGGAGGCGGAGCTGATTCTTCTGGGCTGAAACACTATACCTGTCTGCATTGCTAAGCTCGGAAGGGCTGCTCTCCGATTCCGGAGCGTAGGGCATGTTGGAAGTGAAGGGCTCGGACACCGACACACTCCGGACAAGCCACGCAGCTCCTCCGTTAGCCTGATTCGCGTACGGGAGGCATTCGAGCTCTGGTCGATCCCGAGGAAGATCCTATGTGGGATATAATTATTGGTCAAGATTAGAGTCGAACTTGGCTGAGGATGCCACCATGGACGTTCCGCCAAGATTCAGGGAGATGAATAAACCGTCCATTCATCCGGAAGGCTCCCGTAGTCATGGAGTAGTCGCATCGGGAACGCAAGCGCACTAGTCTCTGCGACGACATGGAAGACGCATGCTGCGCCCTGTTCCCGCGGATGCGAGACCGATGAGCCCCTGTAGATTCCTTGACGAGCCAGGAGAGAGCAGAATTGCTCGAACTCTAACAGACGTCCGGCACACGATCCCCTAGCAGTTTCGAAAAAGAGCAAGAGCCGATGAATGGATCGGCGGAGCAATGGATCAGGACTCAAGACTGATGGCTCGGCGCTGATCTCAAAATATGCGGAGAGTACCGTGTTAGCCGGACGTCGGCAAAACTCTCGGGAACCGTGTCTTCTGTGGATGTAGTTCGCGAGCTCCATTCGTGTAATTACTCCAGGGCATGCAATTCCAGGACTCCGTGTTGTTTGCTCAAAATGGAGAAAAACGGGAGGATCCCTCAACCGATATCTTTATTCGTTGGAAAACTCGCGATTTTCTTTTGGCATGCAGCGAAACTCTGCTCGATGCTGAAAATCGAAATCTCGAAGTGGATGCATGCAGCAAACAACTGAATGTTTCATTCTTTGACGTTCATCTCAGTCATTTGTAGCGGGTCCTTCGGCTCACGACCCTTGCTCGAGGGGTAATCGCACGAGATCCGTCGTCTTTCTCATCTCCGTTATCCCGAGAGCGCCTCCCAAACGAATTATGTGAGCCCGCCGAGTCTCGAGCGATCCTCGAGGGCCCGCGTTGTAGACTGCAGTATGCGTTGTCCATCGGAGAGATTCCTGAATCGAAGAGTCTCGATCCTCCGTCCGGACACGGGGAAAGACGGGAGTATGCAAGACTTTCCCCGGTCCCGATACCTAGACGTCCTCGCTCATCATCGGATTCCACTCTGACTCAATGCCTTTGAAGAAATTGGGGCCGTGTACATCGATTGCATGCGGTTGTTTTCTCATTATGAAGTTGTAGTGCGAGAATCGCCAGTCAGGGATGCGGTGAAGGTTCTTGTCTGGTACGTTGAGATCCTTTTGAAGTTTGAAGGTTTCCTGAAGAAGAAATGCTTTCATGCTCAGCACAAGTTTCAAAATCGGGTTCCTGAGTTTTCAGGTCAATACCGTGAATGTCCGGTGTCTCGATGCAACGCGCATTTGATTGTCGTGAATTTACCTCTGGCTGTACGAGGGCATCACCATCAGTGTAGTAGATCTTGAGATCGATCTTGATGTTATCTGAATCGAGGCTGGGCGGTTCCAGGCTTCCGTATTTCTCGAGGTTCTTCGATCTTCTCAAGCCGAGATTCGTCAACAGACGAGGTAGAAGCCCATAATCGTAATCATACTCCATCATTTCTGAATCGCAACCGAATCGCCGGCCCTGTTGGAAGAGCTCGATATCACTAGTGGACTCGGGCTCGTGGAGAGAAGCGGGAGTTCGTCGGGGGGTCGTCGCGAGGCTCGCCGTACTCCCTGTAGGGACACACTACTCTGTGATTTTTCCCCCCACGAGGAGGGACGAGGGTTGTGTCATATGTGGTATTTCACCGGATAATGAATAACAACATATCCATAGTATGAAACTTTGTCAGTATTTCCTTTTCCACTCCGGGGAATTCCGCAAAAGCTTTGCGGCGGAACGATCTATCACCTCGGAATCTTTGATATATAAACCGGAGGACTGCAGGGAACTCAAAACCATCTTCGACAAGATGAAATGTCATGCTGAGAAGTACGCAGAACAGTATGGACGTCACACTTTGTTCTGACTCCAGCACCTATGAACAACAGCTATGAACCTGATGGAATGGAACGGGGAACACCGATTAGCGCCGAGCTGTGATCCGAGTCGATCCGAGGATATGCCTCAGAATGAGAGGACGAGGGATGATCGAATCCCGTCTAGAAGTCATCCCGGCACGACTTCCTAAACCAGGAATATGCCGTGAATTCCCGCCGTTCCGATAACTTTCATGGGTGTACCAGCCGGAATTCCGGAAAGTGGATCACGTTCGAGTTCAAGTCAGCCGAAGGAATATATCTGAGAATAACCGTGTCATAAATTGCAACAATGATGGAGCTCCCATGATGAGCGGCGCCGGAAGCGTTCCGTTATAGCTCCTGATGAATCGTGACGACTAGCTACAGCGCGTGACTATCATGTCATCGGAGGCTTCGCCGACGTCGATGATCTTGAAAAAGAACGCCGGCGAAGCGAGGACCGACCTCCGAAGTTTTGCACTCATCACTTGAGCCGTGGTCCGTTCGCTCGTTAAAGGATTTCGGCGTGTGTGTTTCCAGGGACCGCAGAAACATCGCCATTCACCGAACATTTCCCGACATGGCTTCGGAAACGAGTAAACTTCCCAGTCCCCTGTTGAACTTCCGTTTCGTACGCGATGTTGGACATCGCCGACTTGAGATAGAATTTCAGTCGGTCCATCGACACCCGTCTGCGGACAGATTTTCCGGAAATCAGCGCAATGGTTCCGGGATTCAACAGCCCAACACCCGAGGGTTTTTTTCGATACGGCCAACCCAGCTGGCTGAATCCCTTGAAATTCAGACCGAAGCGCAACTTTTCATATCGTGGGTTGGCGGTTCCATAGGTTCCTCTCAAATCCCGAGCGGCTCTCCGGAATCTCAGGCGCTCCTAGTCGAGTTCGATTTGGAGGAGCTCAAATCCTCCAGCTCCGACTTGATCGGAGTGGCTCGACGTAGGATGGAACGGAGACAGGCGCACTCTAGAACGGGGACAACAAGGATCTCACACGATCATCGCCTGAATGACTCACTTGGCTACCCGATCACGCAAGTCTGGGAGGAATTAGACGCGATGCCGAGCGACATATACTGAGGTTCGAGACCGCAGATGCTTATATACAGACCTGAACCATCCATTTGAGGTTCTTCCTCGAGGTGCCGGCATTGATTGCTCTCCCGTAAACGCCGAATCTAGACTGAGAGAGAGAGAGAAGAGTCAATCATTTGTCCCTTCGCGAAGCTACAGGAAAATTCCCCTGATTAGGATTGATCGAAGTCTCTTCCCTCCAGAAGCTCACAGTGTTGAAGAAATGCATCGACTGGCAATCAAGAAAGTGGATGCACACGAATTCGCTAATTTTCGGGTATCTGGTGATTGAGGAAAAATCCATATCGAGGTTATGGCCCGGACGCAATACATTCAGGAAGGAGTCCTGGAACGTTAGCGGAGCTGAAAGTTCGTCATACCCCCACGCGATCGTCCCATATAAATGACCGCAGATCAAGCAAACTCACGCCAAATATCGAATGATGTAGAAGCGGGAGGAAAAACTTCGTGTGCGCGTTGTGACACATACTGCGATAGCCTCCATAGCTCAAAGCTTTAGCGATTTTGCGATTATATGATGGCTTTTTCGAAAGTAATGCGAATAGCTTAGTCGCGCCTTGCGAAACTCCGACGTAATTGACCTGGGTTGGACGTAATCACTGTTATTCGAGCGGGACCCCGTAATTATCGAGTTCTGATTTCGTGCCCTACACGGGTCAGGAAGTAGTCTCGCCTTTTCATGACCCGTTTCCCAGAGGATGTAGTCCAGCTGCTCAGCCAAATCGATCACGCCGTGCTCTATGACCGTGAAATCATGAGGATCGTAGGAGTACTTCTCCGGGTCGATCTCCGAATGTTTGTTGCCGAATCGAGTACCCCGGTCGTTCAAGAGCCATACGTCGAAGCCTGCTTTCGCGAACGGAAACGCTGAAAATTAGAGATGGATGCTCTCAGTCATCTAGCGCGATGGTTCTTCTCGAATATCTCGGGGACAAATATGTGATTCTTCCAGCCACTCCAGAAACCCAATCGACTCTCATGGCCGCATGAAACGTCGCAGCACTTGTCGATCGAAAGGGTTATGATTTCCTCAAAGATTAACAATCAGCCCGAACAGATAGTGATTGCATGATCCGAATGAATGAGATCTGTATTTATTTGTATCGTACCATTCACATGATCGTCCGAGACGTAGATCGCCGAGGTTCCGAAAAGATGCGCTCCGATCACAACGGGCAGCAAAGAAGTGTTCCTGGCTTTTTCTTGCCACATGCGATGGATTTCGATGCGGTAACCGTCGGTCATGACAAGCTCGTGCCGGGAGAAGTTATAGCCTCGACTAACTATTAACTCCTCCTGTAACCATAAAGGCTCTCCTCATTAGCTCATCTCATCGGCAGGAGGGGAGAAGCGGCGCGTTTAGTCTGTCGCGAAAGATATGAGAAACACCCAGCTCGACACAAAAAGTGGGGTTATTAAACTTGATCCGAAGGGCTCAGAGAAGTCCTCGGCAGACGACCCAAAACGCCAATACCGGCGCTCATTTGGAATTACTTCACTCGAGTCGTCATTCTTCCCGGTGTAAATTTCTGAAAGCTCTCCTGGGAAATATTCCTTCTTGAATGTTCCGGAGTATCTGGTTCGAATCGCTGATGGTTCCTCGTTCGCTTTCGAAGTCTCGCCTGCGTGCTTCATGCGGGGAGCTTCGAGATGAGAGAGACCATCCCCCAACAGAGATCGCAGTATAGGAACAGGACGATATCATGGGAGCGGGGATGAGACAGCAGAGATATAATTCACTGAATGAGACTTCGGAATTCTCGGTGAGGGGGAAGACTCCACCGCGCCCTCGGGTGCGGTAAATGAATTTCAGTCTGGACTGAGCGATTCGATGAGAGAGTGCTTCCCTAGCGCGATGAGCGCACCGACGCTTTCTTTGAGACATTTCGGCCCCACGCGCTACCCGAATCTTCTCTGGCTGCCCGAGCCGCTCAACTGCCCCGCGCTCACGACTTCTCCGGCATTGCTTTCTGAATGCACAACTGCTCTATTTGTACTCACGACTCCCTTGAGTTCATCCGGATCCAGCGTCCACGCGAACACTCTATCATGAAGATCAACGAAAAAATCATTCCGTCGGGATAGAAATACCGAAAGGCATACGAAAATGAAAGAGAGCAGGTACCAGGATCGAAACCAAGATTTCCTTGTCGATTCCATCGCCGTCGGAAGAAAGTTTCGCCTGGCACCGCTCATAGGATAACGTCAGCGCTGCCAAGGTGCGTTATTTTGTCGTTCCGGAGTCCCCCTTGTCCCTTCGTCATCGCTCTCTCCATGATGATTACTACATCATCTAGTCTTTTTGACAGATGGTTCCCGAATTACACGGCCCGACAAAAAATTTTTTTTACCCAACAGAGTTTGTCAGAGCTTGAGTTCATCCGGATCTGGCGTCCTCGCGAACACTCTATCGAGGAGATCAACGAAAAATCATTCTTTCGCGATAGAGATTGCGAAAGACATACGAAAATGAAAGAGAGCAGGTACCGGGATCGAGACCAAGATTTCCTTGTCGATTCCATCGCCGTTGGAAGAAAGCTCCGGAGTCCCCCTTGTCCCTTCGTCATCGCTCTCTCCATGATGATTACTACATCATGTAGTCTTTTCGACAGATGGTTCCCAAATTATTGTCAGGGAAGCTTAATAATGATGCTTTCTACTTTGTATCGAGGATGAGATCAGCGAGAGGCGGTGCCAAAATTCGTCTCCAGGACGCTGAAGATCAGGAACCTATATAGAAGGGGAGGGGCTGACAACAGAGTTGCAGTTTACATATGCGTACAGCGTACTTCCGTAGGATAATGACGCCTCCTCCTCTTCCCCCAGCTATTAGTCGCTGTGAATCGTCTTCGGTAGTTGTCCGACGCTTCCGCGCGTGGGATACCATGATATATTTTTCAACATTCCCAAGAGGTTGCTTGCTCCTCAAAAAGTCCAGCGACTTCGAAAATCGGGACGCTGATGTCCCGATTCTGAGGGGTGGGCGCCGCAGCGATCGTAGCGTTCGGCTAGCGCCGCAACTGAGATCCTTGGTCGCTCGAGGAGCGGATGGAGCGCGTCGCCTGTTCCGGGATTCGGAGGAGAATCGGACTAGCGACAGACTCCGTCCAGGTCCGCGAGCAGGGACAGCGAGACGTACGCCTCGACGAGCTCTTGTAGCGGCGATGTCTGTGCTCGAGAGCAGACCGTCCGCGACTGGACGCCGTCCCTCCACGACCTTCACTCCATTATGAGCTGTGGGTACTGGAGCAGGGGTGGTGGACGGCAGGAGTTGGGGCATTTTTAGGCGACGAAACCTCCTTCGGATGAGCGCCCATCGCTGATCTCAATCTGCGCAGATGGTAGTTGCGAATTCATTATAGTACACTGCTGCGATAAGTTTCAGTATATCGAGGTTGGAGAGCTCCGCGGAGCCATCTGTGATTCCTCGGTCCAGGAGGGGCATCTCACGCCCATCTACCCATGTAGCGCCTGGTCGAGACCACTGGCGACAGTGAGCGTTCTCAAACCGATGAGCATTCGGCTCGAACTTTTCTTTTGGTTCTAGGATAAATATTCTCACATGAGCGATAGAGTTTTTTTTTTGCTCCGAGGGGTTGAAAATTCGCCCAACGACCTGAAGGGCCCCTTCGGCCTCGAGGAGAATGCAAGAATAACACCACAAAACTTCGGAGAACATCGGACAGACCAGGTTAATTATTCATATATACAGCACCCGGTCGGAGAACGACATCATATTCGCGATGCTCTAGACTCTAGACCATTCCGAACAAAAGTGGCTCCTTGAGCATTTATCCGACGAAAGAGGGCATTCATGGGCCGAAACATTTCGGAGCCACGTGGGCTCTAGCGGGAGCTAGGCAGAAACGCTCCTCCCAATATCCGCTCCTTGGTCGAGATATGTTTCAGGATTCCACTCCGATTCGATCCCTCGGAAGAAATTCACTCCGTGCTCATCGATCGCGTGCGGTCCTTTTCTGATTACGAAGTTGAAGTGCGAAAAGCGCCAATCAGGGATGCGGTGAAGGTTCTTGCCTGGCACATTGAGATCTTTCTGTATTTTGAAGGTTTCCTGGAGAAGAAACGCCGTGATGAGGGAAACTCACGTCTCCGGAAAGGCCGATACTGAGAGAGGAGCCTCGGCCTGGAGGGCTCCTTCGCCATCGCGGTCAGAGGCAAACACTTACCTCTAAAGGCACCAGAATGTCGCCATCGGAGTAGTACATCTTTAGATCGATGTCGATGTTCTTCGCGTCGAGAATAGGCGGCTCCGTTGTCCCATATTTTTCGAGGTTTTTGGAGGATCTCAAGCCGAGTTTCATCAGCAGGCGAGGTATGAGCCCATGATCGTAGTCAAACTCTCTCATATTTCCGTCACAGCCGAATCGCCAGCTCTTTGGGAAAATGCAGTAAGAATTATGCATGTTTCTTCTGATGTCTCAGTCGAGCTCCAGGGTTTCGAAGTCGCGAAAACCCCAAATGGGTTTGCACACAGACCGTCCGGATCACGAGACAACGATCATTGATCATTTAGTCCGGGTCGGCCCTGCGCCCGATACTTCGTGGAGTCAAGGGGCTCCAAATTTTCGATATATAGTCACGGTTTTCCATTCACAGTTCTGTCCTTAATGGAAACAGTGGTCTTGTGGCTTACATAGGAATCGAGTGGTAGGAACGGGTATGTCAAGACAGATGCACGAACCTGAGCCATCCATAAGAGGTTTTTCAAGGAGGTTCCGGCGGGGAAGAATCTTCCGTAAACTCCAAACCTGGACTGCAGGACAAAAATTGCTATCAATTCACAGTATCTCGAACAGGCGTGAAACGTGAAATGTTCCGGTACAAATTCAGTGAGCAACTTCTCCCCCAAAACAACATACGAAGTTGAGATAGTAGTCTGATTGGAAACCCAGGATATTGACGCAAGTGAACTCGCACGGTTTTGGGATTCTCGAAATGAAAGAAATATCCCGATTGAGGAGGTGTGTCTTCGAAATCATCTCGAAAAAGAAGTCCTGGAACATTGAAGGATTCCGGTTATTTGCCCCCTTCCCCACGATTATATAATACAAGCTGGCTTCGACTTTGCTTCGTTCGTCCGAGAAAAGATCCCTCTTATAGTCATCCTAAGGCCTGCCGAGGGTTTGACCGAATGGGTCCGATCTCGTTGCCCATGTATGATCAAAAACTCCGAGTTTCCGAGAGGGTGACTCTCAGGTTTCTTTTCGCTTCGCCATTTTCGTCCGAAGACGGCGCCCACCCTCTATTTCCGCCGATCCCGCCCTTCATTACGAATTATGTATCCCTAATAACGATCTCTGGCGGACCTTCCAACTATAAGAGGCTCTCTCGCGATAAGAAAACGCGAAACCGCTCGAACTTACGCCGAAAGCTTGCGACAGAATGGAGGGGAGGAACATCGCTTGATGATTGTAGCAGCCACTGCGATAGCCCCCAAGGCTCGTCGCTTTCGCTATCTTCCGATTGTAGGACGGCTTCTTCGCCAAGAGAGCAAAAAGCTTCGTTGCACCTTGCGATACTCCGACGTAATTCACCTGCGATATGTAGTTATTGATTGAGAAATTTGATTGACTCCGATTGCCGTGGGATGGGGAATTTCCACGGCGTAGACGTCAGGATGTATTCCCACCTTTCTTTGACCAGTTTCGCGGAGGATGTAGTCGAGCTGTTCGGCCAAATCAATGGCACCTAGGTCGACGACAGTGAAATCATGCCTTCTTCGGGCCTGCTGTGTAGGATCGAGATTCGGATCTTCCTCGCAGTACCGAGAACCTCGATCATTCAGAAGCCAGACGTCGAAGCCAGCGTTCGCGTACGGAAATGCTGACGGGAAAATACCATTTCGAGAATGCATAAGACCGCTTAGTAGAAACGTCAGAATACTCTACAATCTTCTCAACTGGCATGTTTCGAGCTACAGGGCATGCGAAGATTCTCATTTGCAAACTATCAAGACGACCGAACATATTTTGTCCGTTTGTTCTTCTGCGATCGGCCGAGAGCGGCTCTCGTGGCATCGACCGATCACCGATCATCAGAACGTCTTCGATGGAAATATTTGGATGGAAACCACCCGGAAGGAATGAGAATATCAGAGAATCGCGAGATCGGGGATGGCTCCGAATTCCGTACCATTACGATCAGCATCCATGACGTAGGAGTTCGAGATCCCGAGTAGATGCGCTCCGAAAACAATTGGTAACAAGGAAGAGTTCCTGGATTCTTCACGCCACATACGATGTATTTCTATCCGGAAGCCATCGGATATAGAAACATGATGCCGTGAAAAATTGAAACCTCGGCTCACTATCAGCTCCTCCTAGAACGATAGAAGCAACCCGCACTTATTCTGAATCACTCCTTCAGGATCTGGACAAGTTCCGGAGCATGATCGCCACCTCTCTCTCAGAGCTCGGAGCATCATGCCGAGAGCCGCCGGTCTCCGAGTTTCAGGGCACACTCGAACGAGGGGGATCTGAATCTCCGTCCTGCGGAGCTCTAAATCCGCAGAAGGAGTCCCTAAAACTGCTCTGCTCAGAAACCGCTTGGCTTGCGAAAATCATCTGTCACTCACGATGTCTTTGAATTCATCCGGATCCGACGTCTTCGGGAGCACCGTATCGATGATTTCGCCGACGACACCCGTCCACTGCAGAACAAGCACCGACAGAGCTGCGAGTACGACAGACAGCAAAAACCAGGATCGTAGCCGAGATTTCGAAGCGAAACCCATCTTCTCCAGGAGAAGGTTTCGTGAAGCCAGGCACAGAATGTGGGTATGCGCCGACGCTCACACCTTCATTCCTTGGCTGTCTCACAGCTTCCCCGCGTCATTAAATGTCGTTCCCCCTCTGATCATTGCTCTTTATCAATGAGTCGCTAGATAATCGGGGAAGTGGGGTTCAAGATTTGTTTCCAAGACGAGATGACCGAACGTCCGATAATATGGGCAGAATTCCATGATAAGGATGGGAGAATCACGCCGAGGCAGGACTTGGAATCACGATTATGAATATGATTCCGACGTTGATACAGCACCTCCCACGCATTATATCTCATTTTTTCCCGAGCATAGTCTTCCTCTCCCGGCTGGAAACCGGGGAACTCCATCTTGGGCAATTTCTAGCCCGGGAGAGTCTCAACGTCGAGGAGAAGACGTAGCGCCGGGAAAGCTCCTCACAAGAGTATGGGGTGGCCAAGTATCAGAAGCGGGCGGCGCGAGCTCTAGAGATACGGTTTCTCAGTCATGAATCGTCGTTCCGATTGGCCGCTCTCAGGCTTACGTAGATCGTCGATGATGATCGATCGTTGGGTTCCGTAAAAACTATCGCATTCGATGATATCAGACTTTTCATAACTATTCTTGACTCATCCGTTTCCTTCTTATCAGCGGAGATTTTCCCAAAGATAACGGTGATCCGTTGTTGAGTTGAGCATCCGACGGGCTGCAGATCGGAGCATTTACCGACGGATAGCCGAGGGTTACAAGCGGTCTGTTCTGCGGAGGCGAGTCGGCATCGAATCCGTTGACGGAGGGATAGTAGCGGATCAAACGATACTTATCTACAGTCGGCGCTCGATTTAGTAAGCACGCTTGGGACCTGGGAATTCAGTTCTCTTTCTAGCGCTGTACTCAATCGATAGCGTTCACCATTACGCTACCGAAGGTCGGGACCAGAATCATGGTTTACTGAACTAAAAAAATTCATGGAATCGCGTTCTACTCTATCGGGCGATAATCTATCCAGATCCCACCTCGGCGTTCAGAGCACGGACTTCAGAATACTTTCACTCTGAGCTCCGGGGATCAAGTTGATATTCCATCGCGGACGTCAGATACTTTGTGCCAGATTTCCAAACGATGCCGAGAATTGGTCATTGCCGCAATATGACACGGCTGATTTCGCATCTTAGCTCTCCAGTATATGTCTTACTTACAATTAGTCATGCTTGAGGAGTACTCGTGATTCCGACCTCCGCGTCGATTCGAGATTCGATCCAAAAACTTCAGTTTGAGACAGACGTCATCAACGGACGCCGGATGTCAGTACTCGTCCGAGGAACTCTCGCGAGATTCGAAATAATTCTCGAGAGCGTGATTGGGAATCGGCTCCCTTATCCCGGAATCAGTGATACGTGATTTCACACAATCCACCGCAGGGAAATCGTTCGATGATAATACAATATGGTCGTCACCGATTCGACTGACTTATACAACGAGTGAGTATTCTCAATTTATCATTTATCATGAGTTATGATACACCTGGAAAGAAACAGAGCTTCGACCCGGTGGATCACTTCGTTAAGTCCGCGGTGACGTTGCTCAGGGAATCTTCGCTGAATCTTTTCTCACCCGGGATACCTCACAGGGAAATTTTTCAACAGTGATTTCCACCCGAATCGGTGGGATTCGTTCTGGGGCATTTTCCCTCGATCAGCCCGGTAAGTTTTTGTCATTCGTTCCTAGGATGCTTCCGAAGTTCTCGGTTACGCGGAATGAAGGTCACGTATCTACCCGAAAGCGCACCTAACCGGAAAACACGAGTTTGAAAGAGAATCACGCGCAAACACGTGTTCATCTGAAGTCAATAGTACAACTTGCAGAATAGATGTATTGGCCTTGTAACTTGGGATTGATATCCCCTGCACCGGAGGGTACCCCGCGGGAGAATCTCCTCCCTTCGGAGGTTCCCGGAAGTTTCACCGAGCGTTTTTTGATTTCCTCAACATCCCAAGCAAACGCTCAGTCCGTATAATGCGCGCGGTCGCCTCGTCGCTTCCACGTCAACACTTCCATGAGCGAAACTTTTACGCAGTTCACGGTCTCAGCACCCGAAGTTCTGAATGGTTCCGCGTGATGAGCCGATAGTTAGTATCGAGAGCAATGACGCTGCAGTGCGTGGTCCAGCCCGGCTGCTGTTCCGGGGATCGAATTCGATCCTTCGACGTCTTTCGAGAGATCGCGTGTGTGATCCGATTTTACATTCAATACAAAACGGAACGCCCATACACTCAATGCAGATCCGGGTCCCGATATCAGATCTCCGCTTCCAAGTACCATACGAACGGCATCGACTGGCCAGACTCCTCTGAAACTCGATGGTTCCCGTCTGGGATTTTCCGGATAATCTAATCTACACCTTCGGAAGTATTGATTGAGCCGCCCGTGACGCGAAGTCCGATGAATGATGACATGATGACGATGGATATCGGTTTCAGTCCCGGAAAGCATTATATCTCGATGTTAACCTCATCCATGATTCCGAACGATTGGGCGAAGCGTGCTGAGGTCGCAAACACCAAGCACAGGGGAAGGTGGTTCTAATCCACGGAGCATACCGAATCGAATATGTAACAGGCGGTATATGAAATTATTCGGGTAGCTGTAGAATCTTCGACTATCCGCAGCCTTGCCTCGTTCGGCCGGAAATCGTGACCCGACTATGAGTTTCCGGACGCTCTTGATACAGATGTCGTTTCACAGCTCATTTCGGAATGGCTCACCATCGCTCCGCCTGGGCGAGAAACAAGTGAACTTAGCTGTGAATTGGCGTCGTTGCGCCAAAATTAGCCCCAATTGATGGTAATTGTCAACAAGCTCTGTTCCGATCGAGGCAGGCTGGAAACATTCGCAACTAGGTTGTCAAGTGGTAACTCGATTTCCACAGCTCAGGAATGGGCCGCTGGAGAACCGTTGCGGCGATAAGAGAGGAGCTCTCCGAGGAGAGTCCCAGGCGCAGAGGGGATCAAACAATTATCGCATTCCAACGACGCAAGTCCTCTAGGTCATTGAACCATCTTAATTATACGATTCAGCTACTTACATCCGCCTTGTCCCCCTAAGCGGAAGGCGACGGGCTAGGAGAAGTGGACGTCACTCCGCCGACATGGAATGAGAGCAGAAGGGACCGAGGGTGTAGTCTCTTCCTAGAAAGTCGAGGAGGAGATAAACATGGAAGAACTGGCAATGAGTCTGTGAATGAGAGATCGAAAGAACGTTTGCCGAATATTTGAATGTACCCGGTCAGCAGGAGCGATCGTAAAGACAGGATGACTCAAAATAATGGCGGCTTCTGATTATCACGATGTCGTTTGAATTCTCATGTGTCGACATTTCCCCTCAGACTCTGAGGGGAAATGTCAGAGGAGGCTCAACAAGAGTCGGAGAGAGTCTCGGACGCGCCGCAGAGCCGATTCCTCACGTAGCGAATCTTTCTTTGAGACCTTTGATCGGCATTCTTTTCCTCCCACGTGAGAGCTCCGATCCGTAAAATACAAGAATCGGCGTGGGTCGATGGCCGCTCTGCTCTGAAGCTTCTCGCGGCTCAGTTCCTGCTCGACGTGGACAGCGGCGAATGCCTAAGAAGTCACCCTCGCGCGAGCTTCAGACTTGGAAGGAAACGAATATGCAATCATGGCTCCTGGCGCGTCTGGGTGTAGTTAGTCGCTGCACAATAATTCTTCCGAAACATTGAAGAGATTCGCAGTCAAGCACGAACAGTTCGATCCTGACTGATGTTAGAGGTCGTTCCGTCCTTACCAAGCGCTCACAGAGATCCAAAAGTTTTGCGTGTGGGCTGCTGAGCCCTAATTCTCTGGAATTATGGAATTTGCCTGAGGACCGGGCTTAGATGAGGCCAGCGGACCGAGTCGGTGAGTATTTCGAGTCGATCTTGGCATCAGCAAGATCGGATTGATCCTCGTTGTTCCAACGAACGCGCCTTTCATTCACTCATTGAGTCTTCGTACGGTGCGAAATTATTTTCCGTCGCTCCGTCTGATCTTGTGATATCTTGTGCCTGCTCTGAAAACTTGCGGTTATCTACCGCCAGCCCTTTCCCGTGCAGCACAAGCTCATTCTTCGACTCTATTCGCGACGTATTTCAGCCCCGTTGAGCTGTGTCATCCCGTTTCGTGATTTCGTCCGTCAGCTGTTCGATTCTTCATTTCGCCACCACCCTGATGCCAGCCACCTCAGCCGGGTCCGCGGAGACCGACACTGCGGGCGGTGTTATGTCGGCCGCCGGAGCCCGGCATCACGGTCAGAGTCCCCCTACAGGCTCAGATCGAAACCCTGAAGAATGTCTCGCAGATCGCCGGAATCGAGGCCAGGCCCAATCTGCCGACGGCAGCCTCTCTTTGGGGACGCATTTCGGGCGTCCATCCATCCTTCTTGGAGGGAGATCTGCTCGAGCTTCTCCGACCACAGGGCGTCGTTGAGGTCCAGCGAGAGGAGTATTCTACCTGCGAATCTGCATCGTCTTCCGAGAATGAAAAGGTGCAGAAACCGTCGAACCGCATCCGTCTGAGGTTTGAAGGCGAGATAAGGTAGCACATCAGATAGCACATTTCGATAGCACACGCCGCCGTCTATTTCGAATCTCTTCGCCACAATCACCGCCAGAGTGGTCGAGAGAGTCTCTTCGAGTCTCGAGACCATGATCGCCGACATCGTCTCCGCTGCAATCACCACCGCGATCCCACAGATTGCTCAAGCCGTTGCGGCCGTGCTCAAGAGAACGGCATCAGCCGGGGACTCAGCCCCTGTCAGCTCCCGCACGAAGTCAGCCGCTCACGTATCGACTCGCGCTTCGAACTCACAATGAGTGCCAACGAAACGCCATCAATGATCTCAGAGAAGCGCTCCGTTTGCAGTCCTCTTCCGAATCGCTGGTTTCACCCGTTGATCCCCGCCTAAGGTAGAAGATGATCACGAAGCACCCGCCACCTCGC